GCTTCCTGTATGGGAATGACCCTGTGAGCTCGGTGACCCCGGGACTCTCTGCAGATCACACAGATGGGAGTTTGATCCTCTTCACAGAACAGCTTCAGAGCCTCCTGGTGTTCCCCACACACCCCGTCTCCTCCTGCTCCCTTTGCTGCCTGTAAACTCAGCCGTTTGGCTATTTCTACGACATTTGCCAGCTGCCTGTTGAGCCTGAGGTTTCTCTGTTGCACAGTTTCTCTGCACTGAGGGCAGGAGGTGGCTGTATCGAATCCCTCCCAGCACTGGCTGATGCAGGCTCGGCAGAAATTGTGCCCACACTCCAGACTGACAGGTTCTGTGAAATACTCCAGACAGACGGGACATGTAGCTTCCTCCTGGAGATTTTCCATGGGGTTCTCTGCAGCCATGACACCCTCTGGGCAGTGGAACGGGGTAAGTTTCCATTTCCTGAATTCACACTATACCCTGCCTGCAACAGCAAGGGGGTGTTTCCTTGCCTGAAAAATGACTCATGCTGTTTGCTGAGCAGGAAGGACCCAGCCAATTTCACCCCTGGAGGCTTTAGTGAAAAAATGTACAGTCACACCTGTGACAGGTAACTTTCAGTGAAATTAGCCTGTAATTAAAACCCCAAAGGGCTCCTGGCCTCCAGTCAGCCCCTGTGCTGGTGGGGAGGGTCACTGAGGCATCCCCCTGTGAGGATGAGCCTGGAGGAGCAGGAGCTGTGTGTCAGAAGTGATAGTCAGACTGGGCAGAATTTTTTTGTATAGTATATAATTTTGACAGATAATGTTTATTTTATGCTATTTTTATATTTATTGATTTAAACTTTCACTGCTACACAGCAATCTGGGTTTTAAGCATTTCATTCCAATTAAAATTTTCATGGTTGTGGAAAATTATGGGGTGGGGTCAGACAATATTTTGGTCAGACCAGAACTATTTAATGATACTAGACACTGAGATTCAAAAAGTTGAAGCTTTAGAACTGTTAAAATTGTCTGTGAGCAGGTAAATCTCCTCCCTCCCCCAGCAGCCCCCCCAGGACAGTAACCCAGTGCCTCCCCACCACACCACACTGACGGAGGCTGAAAGTCCATCTGATGGTGGCTCAGGGGCACACACCCTAATGCAGGGATTCGCAACTGGCTCCACTCTCCCAGTGGGGCAAGCTGCTGGCCCCTCCCCCGCCTTCCCGGGACAGCCCCCCGCCCCCGCCCCGTGGGTCTCGCCTGCCACCCCCAACCCGGAGTGTCCCTGCCTGAAAGAATGTGGGCGGGGCCTCTGGTCCCTTGCCTGCTTTTGCTGCACATTCCTGCTCAACAGCTGTCTGCTGCCCCAGGGTCCTAGTGCCCCTCATCGCTAAATGGCAGGGCAGGCTGCCCTTACCCTGCCCTTCTGCCCTAGCCCTGAGCCTCTCCAACGCCCCAAACCCCTCAGCCCCAGCCCTTATCCCCCCGCACCCTAACCCTCTGCCCCAGCCCTGAGCCTAGGGTTACCATACGTCCAGATTTTCCCGGACATGTCCGGCTTTGTGGTCCTCAAATCCCCGTCAGGGAGGAATTTCCAAAAAGCCGAACATGTCTGGGAAAATACTCCCAGCTTTGCTGGCATCCCTGCCCCAGTCCCGGGCTTATCTTAGAGCGGCTCCGGCAGGCTGCGAGCTGCAGTCGGATTCCCCTGCAGCGGCGGGGGCTGCTGCTGCTGCTGGGAGACACCTCAGCTCTGTGCAGCTGAAGAGCCGAGCGTCTTTTCCCCAGCGCAGCAGCAGCCGGAGCCCGGGAGGCAGGAAGCGCCCGGCCAGGGCCGCAGGGGCTGGAGGTATGGGGGCTGCGCGGCAAACCGTGAAGCCGGTAGCGCTCGGTAGTAAGCAATCCCCTTTCTGTCAGTTCTTTCTCTGCTTCCACAACCCCCCCTTTTGTACTACTAGTACAACAAACATTTTCAAATCTCTATTTGCATTAAGTCTTGGAATTCAGATTCTACTTCAGATGCTTCAACCTTAGTGGTTTTGATTGGATGTAATGACAATGCATGATGAGCATGGACATGAAAGGTATTACTATTATTACGTCCTTTACAACAACAATAACATAATCCTAAACTAACTAATAACAACACAAGCAATAACATTCCCATAGCAATAATATGATGGGGTTGTTGTACAATTTTAGTCATAAAGCACAATACATCATACTTAGTACATAAAGTAGACACTCTATAAGCATACTTTTCAACTTTTCAACTCGATATATATTTTGAAGCATGTGAATTTGCCCTTGTATTTCAGAGATTCTCTGAACCTCTAGTAACAGTGAAAGCAAATTCTGAAATCGATCAGGTACTAAACTAGTCCAATTAAAGGGTATCTGGAACCTAAGGGCTAGTTGGAAAATTCTATCTGCAGGCCAGTAAATAATATGATTGCCTGCAGTGGTAATGAGATTAAAATGTATGTCTTGCAATGTGGTGGCTTTAACATACACACAGCTGTCATTAGCTTGAAAAAGTAAGTGTCCTGTCAGGGTAGTTCCTTGTCCCCTACCCTCCCAGCAAATGTAGTCATGAAGAGTAACAACTTCTCCTGGCTTCAGTTTACGGATACACTGAAGCTGTGGGGGTTGTAACGGCCAAAATGTCCATTGACTCCCTAATCCCATTCAAATGTCAGGTATAATCCCAGGAGCACTGACTAAAAATCGATTGGGCATACCAGGAGGTCTAATTTCCCAGATGTCTCAGTGAATTACCCAATCCCACATGCATTCTCCCCATGGACCTGGCAGGATTCGGTATGTGGGAGCCCACACACCCCCAAACCGGTCCATATGCTTGGAAGGAGCACTGAGAACGTCTGCACTTCCACCCAGAATGTCTCCATGGCCACAGATCAGATGGTACTCCTGATGTGTCTGTAAGGGCAGTGGGCCAAGCTTGATGCTCTAGATTATTCGAATGGCCATTAGCTGGTCATTCAGGAAATCCTGAATTTCTGAATGTGCTAGATCCCACTGCAATGCCTTCCCAGCCTCAGTGATATTCAATACCATCTCTGTCAGCAACTTCTGGGTCATAGAACTAAGAGGGGAAATAACATGTAACTCACCAACTCCAGCCTGTACCTGGGTTAGCTGTGCCCCAATTTCTCATCATGTTTTTGGTTCTTAAAAATATTCCAAACTGCTGCTGCACTATTGGCCCCATCCCAAAGGGATCCGGTGAAGTCTCTCTTCTTTCTAGAGGAAATAACCCAAGCCCTCTGTTGTGCTAATCTAATGGCAGCCCCCTTTGAACAATTTGGGTATGTAGAGGTGATCTGGAAACTGGATAAGGGCAATGAAAATTTAACAGTCCCTAGTATAGTGTTAATCACAGTCCATTGATATCCTATTACATCTCTCTTTGGTGTAGTACTATACCACATCTGTTGATTGAACACCTTTATGTACTTCCGGGAGGCATTGATATTAATGGCATAATAAGGGGTGTATTGCAATAAGGTACAGGTCACATTATTAGTCACTGGAATAATTTCTATGCAGGTAAAATTTCCAGTGGCAAAACAAACTCTGGGTATTCGTTTAATTGTTCACTAATTGGGTGACCAAATACAATAAGGGCCTCTCTCATTTAACACAGTGCAAATTCCAGGAACATTCGCTATAGAACTCATCAATTGCAATTACAGATTCTTGGGGTTCACTGGTAGTGATATCATATACTTTTATCTCCACTGATCCATTTGTTTTCCATTCAACTGTTCGCTTATATGGGATATCCTGAACCTTAAAAATAATTTCTTTTCAAACAATATTTAAATAAATCACTAAAGTGTGAAGGCCTTGGCCATTGGTTTTATCAAATATATGGCATTGTCTGTATTTGGATGTGTTACAGGGGTAATAGTGTAATGGAGGAGATGGCAGGGGCAATGGCAACAAGGTGCCTTTGGTACTTATCATTTAAAATCCAATTAGGGAGGGCAATACATGCTGAAGGACTTATCCAAAACACAGGGCACAGCCTGTAGAATAAACCCCAAAATCCAATCAATACCACGTTCCCAAGCATGGGTCCCACAAGTTTCTTCCTGCTAGTATATAATTCTTTGTTTCTTCACCAGGGTCAGTTCTTAATGTCTTTTGTAGTCAGGAATCCCTGGACTTTGTGGTTTCAATGAAGCAAGTGTTCCTTCTTCTCTTTTCCTGAAACAGTGTGGTTTAGCATCATACAGGGGAGAGGTTACTAGCACATCACCCTGTAATGGTTTTGCTTCTTCTAGAAAAATCCAAAGGCACAGTAGGTCTGTCAGTGGACAAGGGAGAGGTTACTAGCACTTCACCTTGTCTTTTTTTTCTTTTTCCTGCTGTCCAGAAGGCACAGCAGAGCTAGAAGAAGAAATAGGCTGATCATCAGTCGGAGAGTCCTCCCGAGGTGGAGGGGTCTTTTTACAGTGAGAAGCATGGGTCCAGGTAGGCAGTCCTTGGCACTTCACAGTGGTGTTGGTGGTTAACAGGACTTGGAAAGGGCCTTTCCAGTGTGGAGCCAAAGCAGTCTTTCGTTGATGGACTTTACATAGACTCAGTCTCCTTGTTTCAATGAACAGCAGGGCTGCTAGGGTCTTTGGGTAGCACTTCTTTTATCTGTGAGAAAAGAAACCTAACACATTTAATTAATGCCTGGCAGTGTTTTGCAGATCTCATAGTTGCTTGGGCACATTCAGGCCCCCCTTTTCTTGGCTGTCAGCCAAGTCTTAGCTGTGGGCAGTGTCCTTGGATGGGGCCAGCGTCTTATCTTTGGACTGAGCTTGCTAGCTATTTTTTCCAGTTAACTCGTTCTGTTCTTTTTCCTTTTTCCCTTCTTGGCTTCTTTTAACCTACAAAGGAAACTTCCAATCTTCACTCATACACCTTTTCCCAACAATGAACACATACACATTGCCATTATACAGTACATTAGTCTTATTATTCAATGTATGCCATGTACACCCTTCCAGTAAAATAACTTTATTACAGAGCTTTGGAGCAACAAACCAGGACAAGCACACCCACTTTTGAGGAGTCCACTCGGTACAACCTCTGGTGTCCAATAGCTTTCCTCCCTCCCCAGCCCTCTGGCTAGAAATCTGAGGTAGCCAGAAGGATCCCATGGGCAATATGGGGAGTGGGTTAACCTTCCATGTCCTTGCTTCCAAAGACTGTTGGTATGCAAATTTTAACAACAATTTTTCAATTAAAAAAAATCTGGCCAATGAAGTTTCTTTTTCTTACTTAAGCAAATGTATTAGACTTTAGTATATCACATTTTCCTGATTTATCCAAACACTTTGTATTCCAAGTTGAATAAAACAAGTATCTGCTTTTTGATTTAACCCTTCTATTTAATTTTGAACTAGACTGTCCTATGA